GGTCTGAAGGAGCGATCTCTGTCTCCTGCCAAAGTTCTTGAGCAGGAAGTAGTTTGCCGGGCAAATGGCATCAAAGCCGAGATGCCCGTATTCTGCCTGCAACTCATTCTCGGCAAATACTTTACGTATGAACAGGTACAAGCTTTTTTGAAATTGCAATTCTCTGGTCAGAAGATTACCAAACCTTGCAGCTGGGCCAGCTTAGAGCTGTACATCCTCATTGGGACGAGATATGTGGACAGCTCTTGAACAGTGGCTACTACAGACTGCTGGAAAGGTAATATCCGCTTAAGATTAAGGTTTCTTAATTTTCGAATTTAGTATTTTTCCATCCATTTATAGCCAGTGTGCTCTGCTCGCAAAGTCCATCACTTTCTTCGCAATTTCTCTCTATTAAAGGTCAGATCAAATGCTAATGGCACTACAACGGAAGCTGCCTGCCGATCCTAGCCTTCATTTCCCAACCAGTATCCTTACAAATATCCAAGTGCACATTTTGAACTCTGTTGATATTATGAGAGCTGTGCTTGATGAAGGTGATTCTTGACGCATCTATGCTACATCTGATTTACTTAACTGATACTTTTCAGGAGTATGTTGCTTCCCATACGGGGCTATACTGGATAAAACAAACACTCTTCTCGATCAGATCGAGTTTATGGTGAGGGGCGGAGATTATGAGGTTTGTTCAATGCTTTAATGATTTTCTTATCGCTGACCTCAATCCTTTTATGGTCAATAAGCACATCGGCACCTACCTCAAAATCTTGCAAATTTGCGTTTTTTCACCATGCGTACAAATATGAAAATGCAGGCTTCGTAGTCCATCCTCTGAACTGATTTTGCATGCTTTCTCTCACAAATTATGTTCACTGAGTTTCGTAAGATCGTGGTGCTGAAAACTCTGTGAAAACCTCGGTCTGAACAATCTTTGCTTACTGGCTTTATCCGTCCCTCTTATTGAAAATCATAATAGAGATCGCGCTAATGTCAGAAGTGAGCTTTTTTAAGTCAATCACATTGTTTCAGACGTTAGAACAGAGTCCGCCAAAGTTTCAGGCGTAGAGTCTAGGACCCCTTTTATGGTTGCTATTATAACCATCATATTAGGTCGTTCCGAAAGTAAGGAACTCATGGTAGTAACTTTGTACGAGTCCGTTCTAAGTCCCATCGCTGAACTCTAAGCGAACCTTCAAAATTCCGGAGCGAATTCTAGACTGTGTAGACGGCTTCTTCGTTTCGGAGTTCAATGGTTGCCTTTGGGCTCGCTGTCATTGCCGCTCCAGATATCCTGCACAATCCGTTTTATGGCAATCTCTAACCATAAGATCTGTGTCTTTCTCCTTCACTTCTACAGTCGCGTTCTTCCAGCTACTGTGCTGAAAAATGGCTTAATAAGTAGAAATAAGATAACAAACAAATACCGTGCATGCAATAAACTTTTTTTCCGCGAGAATTACGCGCATTGCGCTTAGTTTCAACTTTCCAACTCTAGTATACCC